GTTCTTCTCTCTCTCTCTCTCTCTCTCCTCCTCCTCTCTCTCTCTCTCTCTCTCTCTCTGTCTCTCTCTTTCTCTCTGTCTCCGTATATCGATCTTCTCATACACATCTGCCATTTCCGGTTGCGCGCACGACATTATTACCATGAGCATATACATCGGGATGACGAGGGGACCTTTCTCGCCGACGAGGGTTTCGTGGGTTTTCGAAAGGGCGACACAGGGGAAAACAGTGCGAATCGTCATTCCGCGTTATACTCGCGTGACGATCTCGCTGAATAAAAGCGCGGCGAAGCGCTTCCGCTTTTGTTCGCTAAAAGCGACTGAAACAACGGGAATAGTATCGTAAAACAAGCGACGTTTAATCCGTGTTTAAAGTCAAAGAATTCATTCTGCAGAAGCGAAAAGTTAGCCAAGACTCTCTCTTAAACTTTTATCTTAAAAAATTTCGACACATCTTTCCAAACAAAAAATTTTGCGATCGATCGATCGATCTCTGTATTTCGTCTTGAATTTTGCCACTAATAATAGATTTAGCCGACAGAGTATTCCGCTATATTAATTATATCGTTATCGTAATTATATTCCAAAGATCTATTGTCTCTTTTCAATCTCCTACGAAATTCAATTCGGTTTCCCCGAGCGACGCGATCGGAATTCGTCGCCGAGAGGGTCAGAATCGTCGGATAAGATTAATGATCGGCTTCTGCGGAATCAAATCCTGTTTACTACTGGAGTCTGTAGGTGAATTAATCATGAGGTAATCTAGATACAGCACGCAGTATTGGCATAAAACTCGACGCAACCTCGTCTCTCTTTCATAGGCAACTAGGCTCGTGCGACTCAGTTCATTATAAATTACTGACTTATACGATAAGAATGCTAATGCTGCCGGCGTTTGGCTCAATGAAACGCGCTTCTAATCGTGATCGACCGCGTGGTATTCATTAGGCATAACGGGAACGTAATCTGATTGCTCGTCAACCGAAGACAGCCTTTGCCTCGTTCCTACTCTTCTCTCTCATTTCTTCCTTGAATTATCTCACTTTTATAGTATCTAACACATAAAAAATATGCTAAGCGAATAAACGTATGTTTGTGTTCTTTTAAAGTAAAAATTGTTAAAACAGACATATTACTGTATTATTTTTTAATTTGGTGAAAGTATCCGAGTCGTCAAGAGTTAATTTGTTTTGTTTTCTTAATTAATGAATAAAATTGGAAATGAAATATTTTTTTGTGAATAGGACGTCGACAATGAAAACGGACAACGAACTTAATTTTTCATCTAATTTTATATGCGCTTCTCTTTAGCAGAATTTTAATTTAAGACTGTGTATTGCTAAAATAAGAATGACAAAGAAGAGGATGACACAAGATATAACGTACCTGTTGTTTTAAGCTAATTTCTCATTCATTGACATCGATAATGATAAAAATAAAACGTCTCTTTTTTTTTGCAGATTAAACGAAAATGGCGCTGTTCGGTTTGGTTTCTGCAGTTTCCGGCTTCGTCAAGGTGCGATACTTGATTGACAAAGCTGTTATCGATAACATGGCCTTCAGAATGCATTATAGAACCACGTCGGCTATTCTGTTCGCAAGTTGCATCATTATTACTGCCAGTAACTTGATAGGTAAGGTACCTTCCTTCAATTTTTGCCGCGTTGTCGAAACTCCTTCCCTACCGGCTCGAGAATTCTAGAGATCCTTGAAGATCTTCTAGAACGAGAAAGTTTCTTGTGTTGCGATTATCTTCAATTATCAACGACATTCAAAACGAAGTAGATACGATTGTCATTATCTTAGTAATTCAAACATGAAGATAAACAATTTAAATAAAAATGAAAACTCTTCGCATGTAACACAATAGCAAATACGTAAATAACCGGCTGACTGAATTGTAAAGAATTTTACAATTTACATAGAAGAAAAAGAAGAGAACAGATGATGTTCGGTGATGTTCCAAAGTGGGAAAACCGCGTCTAAAGATAGCCGACGTAAAGATGAGACTCATTTACTCTATCCGAGTGCGTAGGATGTTAACGGGTTAAAGATCAATAGCGACCACTTGCACTGTAAGCCGAGTTGCAGCCGGTCGCCGTCTAATCAACCGATGATTAGGGAGTCGCACGAAAGCGAAATGACGAGGCCGTGTTTTTCTCGTCGTATCTCTCTCGAAAACGAACATTTACGTCGAAGACAAGGTTTTCAAATACAGGTTCTTTTACGCTCTTTTATCACCGCGCACGAACGATTGATCAGAAGAAGCCATGTTTGCACCTAACGATCATAACGTCATACGCAGTCGGTTTCTTATTATAGTTGTTGCGAATTGAGGTCGAGTCGCGCGATATGATTAATGACCTGAGTAAATCTTTGACTACGGGATGAAGCGACTGGGAAGTAGTAATTATGCTATAAATGATTATGTATATATAACATCGGAAGAGAATGTATATATCTATTTCTCGTTTGAGATTGTCGTTGGAATTGAGATTTAATAAATAGATCAACGAAGAGATAGATTAAACTAGATTAAACAATCACACGATAATTTATTATACCGAGTAGTAATGATTTGTCACAGCTTTGAGATGTAGAAACGAAGTGTTCAACTTTTCAAAGATTTTTTTCAGAGAATTTTAGAATTTCGATACTTATAATTATTGCAAGATCAAATAAATAGTAAGCCGGTGAACCTAACCGTTGCGTAACTTAATCGTCCGTAAACGGCGCGATGAGAAACATCTGGCACGCAAATGAACTACATTATATGGCACACATATGACTTTCATTTGCAAAATGAAAATCTCAGGAGCATTAGATCCACTATCCTAATTGTATTTTCTATTCCCCTTTTTTATTTGTTCTGTACTGTATCAACATACACCCCAATTCAATTTTTAATCCTTTTTCTTAAAACAATAGCCCTTCTTCTGACATACGATATCAAAATGCAATTGAAATGTTATGTTATTTCCTTCAGACAGCTGCGCAAAAAATATATTATAGACGCGAATCTAATCGGAAAATAGATATACTATTTATGGACTTGTGTATAAATAAAACGGTTTGTATTGTGAATTTAATACTCAGAAGGAGTATTAAATTATCAGCATATTTTATCAAGACGCTGGATACTTGATACCTGAGTTTCGAGTGGCTTCGTTTAAAACGATAGCGCAGCATCCGTAAAGCGACTCGTTCGCAGTGCATTACGTGTCACGTAAAAAGAATTATCTTTGTCGTGAACGTGATAATGTCGTCTCCGACGCTTCGCTAATCGCGAGGGATTAACGTGCATTACGAGAGCAATCCCATGGGATTACTGCGGTAACTGTGTTCGTGAGACATGCGAACGATAGATACGCGAAAAAGAATTACAGAATTCTATAGTATATTACATATGTATATATACGTAAAATTCAATTCACTTTGAATGGTTTATCAGGATAAAAACTTACAATATCTTGTATATCGAAGAAACTGAAAATTATTTGTATGTAATATTAAAAAAAATTTAAAAATATATAATAATTATATACAAATATAATGTAAAAAATATATTAAAACATATTACACAAAAGAAAAGACACGATACATAAAATTATAAACATTATTTTATCCTGAAATCTGATTTCAGTGAATTATAGATAAGCTTTATATTTTAAGATTTAAGAAATTCAAGTTCAAGTTATCCCGCATCTCATTTTTCACGTTTCATCTTACATTATATATCGTGTCTAACCGATAGATGTACGGAGAGATGATTGATTTTATCGATCATGTTCGTAAAAGTAACGGCGATCTGTAATCGTTTGTCTTTCTTCCGCAGGTGACCCCATCCAGTGCCTGTCGGAATTGCCCTCATCCCACGTGATAAACACGTATTGCTGGATCACGTATACGTTCACGCTGCCGGAGACCCATTCGCAGCCTGTGGGTACCCACGTGGCTCACCCAGGTCTGGGCGGCGATTACGGGGAGAAGAGGTACCACTCGTATTACCAGTGGGTGCCGTTCATGCTGTTCTTCGAGGGCGTGCTTTTCTACATACCGCACTGGATGTGGAAGCATTGGGAAGAGGGTAAGATCAGAACGATATCCGAGGGCATGAGAGGTGCCATGGTCGAAACCAAGCAGGAGCGACAATCCAAGATCGACAGACTGGTCCAATATCTTATCGAGACTCTGCACATGCACAACAGCTATGCCGCTGGCTATTTCTTCTGCGAACTCCTCAATTTCGTCAACGTCGTGAGTATACGTTTGCAACACAAAGGAGCTTTCTGAAAGTGATAGTACGCCAATTTGGGAGATATACTGTAATGTAAATTGTCTTACTTTTTTAAATACAGTTTTTTATATAATTTCTAATCTCACTGCTCTATAAAGTATGTAAAGTTAAATTATTACAAGAGAAATCAAGCAAAACATTAAAGTAAAAAGAAAGGGAAATATTACTTTTACATCATACTAATCGTATTAAATTAATACGATGTTTTTACTATAGATCGGCAATATATTCTTCGTGGATACCTTCTTGGGCGGCGCTTTCCTTACATACGGCACGGAAGTATTGAAGTTTAGCAACATGAACCAAGAGCAACGTACTGACCCGATGATCGCGGTATTTCCGCGCGTGACCAAGTGCACCTTTCACAAGTTTGGTGCCTCCGGCACGATCCAAAAGTTGGACGCGCTCTGCGTGCTCGCGCTCAATATTCTTAACGAGAAAATTTACATCTTCCTGTGGTTCTGGTTCATTATACTGGCGATTTTCTCTGGCTTGGCAGTGCTTTACAGTGCGGCCATAGTGTTGATGCCTAGCACGCGGGAAACGATCCTTAAGAGGCGTTTCAAGTTTGGTACACCAGCTATGGTTAACACGCTCATTCGAAAGACTCAGGTAAGATTTTTTTTTCCGATTATACTCGTCAGTTATAATTTTAATTTTGCGAATGCAATGCCTTTTTAGAGAATGCTAATAAAATCGTTATACCGAGTAATACAAGACATACAGTAATAAAAATTGATTCATTCCGAAAACATCGATAAAAACTAATTTCAAAAGTTTTGTTTTATTAAGTGATTATCATAAAATAATCTAATTGAGAATTTAATAAAAACTCTCGAATAAAGATCTGTATAACTATCATCACGATGCTATTTTTGTATGAAGTCTCTGCGAATGTGTAATTGAAAAGATAAAAGCCTCTTCATAAATGACATTATAATTTTACATTTCAATGCGACATTTTATCCTGAAATTTAAGAATAAAATTGAATTTTATAGGTTGGCGACTTTCTGATGCTTCACTTGCTAGGTCAGAATATGAATCTCATGATGTTCAATGAAGTGCTGGAGGAGATGTGTCGGCGTTTGCAATTCGGCAGTAGTAGCGGCGCCTCGCCGGTATCAGTACCGTCAGCACCCAGCACCCTTGAAATGTCAACACCGATATATCCGGAAATCGAAAAGTTCGCCAAGGATACTGAGATCTAAATACGAGAAGAGGTTTTGGCGACAAAGTTGTCGTTTTCCTCTACTGCCTCTTTTTACTTGTTCGTATTGTGATAATACCGCAGACGGTTCTACAACGTGGTACTGTCGTCTCGGTGCCAATAAAAAAAAAAAAAAAAAAAAAATAAGGTTCGTGCCGCGTCATCGGTTAACTTAGTCCGCACGTATGTAAAACCATACGTGTATCTCTCTCTTATTTCTGTTATCTATTGGGGTGTCCAACATGGCATTGCTATTATGCGACACTGGTAAAACATAGATTTGAGTCGACATTAAAAAGACTTGACTCTTGTCTTCTGTCAATGAGAATTTCACTCACGTGCTCATTAAAACACAAGGCAATCCTTGACGTTGATATCCAATAAGAGATTTACTTTCAATAGAACATTTTCAAATAACAAAATCACTAGACAAGGCTGATTCTCGCTTTCTTTATTATGGAAATCATATCCAATTTGATTGTCATTTGAAAGTTCATCTTATTCGTGGATGAAATAATATATCAATAAATTAATACAATGCGCGATTTGTCTCATTAGTTTTTGATACTTTTCTCATTATGAAACATCGTTCACTTAACGTTGTTATCGCTATTACATAAATTACATAACTCTAATACCCGAGCTTGACTTGAAGAAAAATAGTATGAACCAATGCTAGCCCTCGTTATCTCCTTATTCATCCAGCGATCGTTATGAAATTTTCATGTGTCGTAAAAACCAAGCGAGAACACATAAAATTGCATACGCCAACGAGGCTTCTTGCCGATATTTCTCCAACTAGATTTCTATTATTCATTTTTTCCTGTTCTTAAAAGTATTTCCGTTCGAGTGGCACAATGCGATTAAAGATTATACGACATTGTATTTCAACAGACTTGTCTAAAAAGCATGTTGGTATTTTATATTAACTGCAGCGACACGAACTAACATTAGATTATCAAATATATAAATGTAGATGATACTACATAATGCTCTCGAATTATACGACGTATGCACGTGTAATTGTTTACGATTGTTAAGTCGCAACAAATTTTCAAATGTGATAAATTCACATTCCCACTCGCTGTAAGATCGAACCATTATAATTATTAATCATTCGTCCCATATAAATGCCGATTTATTTCGCAGTAACTCGAAAAGAACATGAGACACGTAAATGACGTAAATTGATAATGGTGTTCCTTAACTCTTCATGTCACGAACGAATTTCTTTTATATTTACCATCGAGCAGAAGAAAAAGCAAGTATCGAAACAGTATTGTGGATATTTTGCAATACTTCCAATATTTGCTTTTACACTACATAAGAAATTATCCATAGATTGTTTATGTGCGTTAGGAAGGCACATAAATATTAACGTTTTATCTAAGTGGTATAATTGTTTATAGAGTATCTTATTATTTTTGTGACGTTATATGACGAGTATGTCATTATGATTTTGTCTCAATTGCATAGAAATGAAAAAAGACATAGATGAAGCTCTGCTCAACAACTAATTATCTAATCCTTTAGACGATTGTACGAATATATCGTATGTATGTATATCCGAAAATTTATCTGCAGAAAGCGATCTACTTTAAAGCTTAATTTCCGAGCAATATACGCAAAACGCGCATATGTCACATATCATAGAACATCACACTGCGCGATTATTTATAACAAAGATGTAAAAATATTGCGAGTTACTTTACACCATGGGATGGTGTAATTGCACTGCCTATAAAAGTAAAATAGCGTATCAACAACCGGAAAAAACAAAAAGAAGCATGGTGTACATCGAGAATAACTCATCTGTTTTCTATAAATTATTATTTTTTTTTAAAGTATTTTCATGCGGCTGGCGCTATAATTGTAACAAGAATTAAGCGAATAGTATAATTTAGATTCGATTAAAAAAAAACTATTCATGCGATCTCATTGATCGTAGTCACATCCTGTGTTTAGTTTGTCTTCTTCTTTTTCGCAGATTATTGTAGAAGATCTCTACATGTATCAGAGATTAAATTTCTGAACCGTGAAAATTAATTACGCTGAAAATTACATTGGGAAAAACAAATTAAAGAAGAAATGAAGATTATATTTAAAATACAACATATGAAATAGGAATCTGTATAAAATGTATAGGAGTTCTTCTATACATGATCATATCTTACGATACATAAAAATCTTCATAATGTTCTTAATGATATAATTAAGTACTTTATTAACCTTAATTGGGATTATTACAATTTTGTTTGCGAACGATATCATATCCGAATATTATGCTGTCTCGTAAGTAGACTTCGCGCGATTAATTATCACGTATGCGTAATCTACCTTCCTGTTAATAGAAACAATAGGGACATTCCTTCGACGTTTGGATAGATTCCTCTATGTCTTCTTACCCGCGAGAATGATGTATAAGCGTTGCCAACAATAACTATATATAATGATAATATTATAACGATCCTTTTCCTTTACGATATTCGCAACCCATTAGATTATCATTAATCGCGATCCGAGTGATATCTTAAGATAGATATTTAAGATGAATGAAAGAGAGGGAGAGAAAGAGAACGAGAGAAAGAAAGAGATTAATTATAGATGTAATAGTTGTTCGTAAAAAATGTGCCTTTTATATATATATATATATATATACATACACATATTATATATATACACACACATATATATAAATAGGATACGAAAAGAAGATTACATACATTAGCGTGTTCTTTAAGAGAAGCGGAAACGCTTCTCGTGACTCGCATTCGATGAGAGGAAGACTGCCAACATGTGCAACGTCGTTATAGCGATTAATACGAGAGAGAATGACAGAGAATAAACGAAATTCTTTCCAATAACGTCGTCTATCATTCGTTTTTATGTGATGATCGCGCGTCCAAGCGAACTTAATTAGCGCGTCACGCAACAGCGAATCAATCCCGAAGTTCTCTTCTTCGGCTATAGCAGCTAAAGCTATTTGGTGCAACTGCTTCCTCTAATTGGACAAAAGGCCTTTGCGCGAAATTTATTTGACTAAAATTTCCTTTCAGTGATAATTAAAATAATCTAGATAGGATATGAATTTCAATAGTTTCTTCCTCTCATTCGTGATTGTACCAATTCGGTTGCTAATAAAAATGAATACTACTAGTGGCAGTAAGTCTGGTTATGCTTCGATTACATCATCATTATCGATGAGCCATCATTAGGGAAAATTTGCGCGGATTAAGCAGTAATTAAAGGAACTCAATAAATTACCGTCGTATAAAAGGACGAATGATGAAAGGAACGATCCTCGATTTCGTTCTTGCGGCACGTGCCGCGAATTTAGTGCAGAGTAGTATACTTTTTTTCCGACTTACCGATTCCCCCAGTCCACTTTATTGATTATCCGCAGCTTCAGCTCCCGCGTCTGATCGGTGGTGAGAGTGCCGGCCAAAAGTTGCCGCCGCCATTCCAATAGCTCTCGCATTACTTTACGCAACGCGTTGAATTTATACTCCTCTCGTTCCTACATTAGACAGTAAGGGCAAAAATATGTTTCAAGTTTGTCAATCAATTGCTAAACTAAATTTTATCACGCTCCCAAAAATGAAGAAAATAACGTATATGCTGAATTCAATATTTTTTATGTTCCGGATAATTGCATGACGTGAAAGATAGAGAATAGAAAATTAAACGTAAAAAAGATTAAAAGGAAATTAAAAGTAAAGGAAGCATCGCAATCTTTCCTTTATCGATCGCTTTTTAATAACATGAAAAAGTATCTTCTCAATCGAAATACGCGGATAAATCTTTTCTTTAAAAGATGACGAAAAGAAAAAGAGAATAGGAAAAATGAAGTAATAAATGCGGTATACTCACTACGTACAACCTCTTCCAAATGCTACCCCATTCCCGCAGGACCAGGGTGACTTCCCGGACCACTGGATCCTCCAATGGTATGACGGACTCGAAGAGACCCTCATTGTCGATCTTGCAGGGTTTCAAATGCACATAGGAACTCGGGAAGATCCCCTTCACCGCGCGGTTCTTCGTCGAAAAACCTCTATACCAACCTGGAATTATCGGAAAAATCCCATTTCAGGTGCATTTCATCGATTGTATCTGGCTTATATCTAAAGATTTAATATTTCTGACGATAGGAATATTGAGATCAAATGCAATTATGATTATTGCACTAATGGAGGCAACAATATTGAAATTAAAATTAAATATTAAAATCAATCAATACAAAATTTTAATTACTCCAATTAATATCATTCTACAATAATTTCAATAAACATACAAATATACCTGGACTGTCTCCATTATTTTGCTTCCTTAATAATTGATGCAATATTCTTGAAGATCTTTAGAGACATTCATAATTTAATTTAAGTAGAATTATTTCACATTAATCTTAGCAATAAAAATTGATTTTTTTGAATTCCGAAAAATATTTATTATATTCCTTTTTAATATTTTATCTTTAACTTGTGTCTACATCATTCCCAGTGATCTGGTCCAGGATATGTCATCACATTATACTATCACATTTCCTGGTGACTTCATCGCTTCCCTTGACCTTAAACGATATCGATGCGAACCCGCAATCACATCGGTGCGAAGTACATCGATCTCGCTCGTGCAGAAAATAAAGATAAGATCAAATATCAGATTACATACCCGCGCACTCCTCCAGGATCTGTACGGTTTCTCCGATTTCCAAGGGTAATCCATAACGCGTGTCCCCTCGCCAGTTGTATACAGCTGTAAAAGAGAGCATAACGGACGTTATCTGCGAGAGTTGCACGCCATGGCGATATGACGCGATGATATTTTTAACGAGCGCCGCCGCCGCCGCCGCCGTCATTCACCGGTTAACTAGATCTCGTTACATCGTCCGCGTAAACTAACATGCCACCATGACTGATAACTGTTAATAGGACGTGACGAAGCGATACAATCACTTCTATTTGCATTAGTTATAAGCAATTTATAAGCACAACAAGCCATGACAATTCGTGATTATACATCATCAAAAACATGAAAATTATGGCATAATTACGTAGAAGATTATAACATTTTAAATATAATACGTTTAAGTAATATTTATTTTAATATATTATTTGCTTTTATTATATCGATATGATATAAGCATTGACGAATGTAATATCGTCATAAATGGGAAATGATAAGATTTTATCGTTTTTTATAAAGATATGATTTTATATTGTAGTCTATATTTTCCCAGTTATCTTTTTTACAAGTTTTATCTAACATAGTGATAACAGCTAAGCTTGTAACAATAATGGTTTGCCGTTGATTGTGTATAGGATCATGTATCGGATTAATGTATCCCCATGAAAATCGGTACCGCGAGCTTTCCTAGAATTGTCAGTCACGATAAACCGACTCCGGGGTACCGGATACGCGTGACGATGCACGTATGACGAGCCAACTTCCGGTCCTCGGTCGCCGGAGAAACGCACGCGAGACGCATCTCAATGAGCGTATCTTTCTCTCTTTCTCTCCTTCTTTCCTTTTTCAGCTCTTTCTACGTTTTCTTGTGGATACGCTTCGTAGGCTTACGTATTGCTTAGATATACAAGATGTGTCGAAAGTAGCAAAAAATTCAGAATCGATATTTCTGTATAAGAAACATTTAATATATCTTCATTTAGCTCAATAACAATAGCCTTGGTACGGTAAATAAAAATTAACATTCGCGATATGAAGGTTTCTCGAAAGAGAAACAAATGCAAATTACGCCGATCACGGTGACAGGATGTCGCTACTAGCCTTTTTCGGGACATCCTGTATATGTTAACTGGCATTACGCGTTTGCTCGCCCACGTTTGGGGCCGTCTAGTGAGTAACGTGTGTGGGGACAGCGTGGCACAATTTTTGACAGGCACACATCGCGCCGCGCCGCGTGGATTGCTCATTTTTCCGTCAAGTGATGCGCGTTTCATTCAAGCGTATCGATCACCGTGCGCATCATAAAATTTGACGGAAAATAAAAACGGATGCAAATATCAATGCGATGTAACACCACTTGCAATTAAACTTAAAAGAGAGAAAAGACAGAAATTGAGTTTTAATACGCGAAGTTCATTTAAAATTGAAGATAATTAATGGGCTAATCAATAACGAATGAATTTAATAAGTATTGACAGAGAAAATAAAATAACGAGTTTGAGCAACTCGACGGCATCGTGAATTCTCAATTTCGCGGGATTAAATTCAGATTACGTTACAATGTAAAAACATAGAACGTTTTTCATCCTCTCGTATCAATGAAAACGTAGATCAAATTGATGCTGCAAATTGTTCTACTGGGTTTGTGACTTGTAGAATCGCGACGATAAATAAATCTCCGCGAATTGATGGCACAGAGCGTTCGTGTGAATGACGACGGTTGGTATTCCTTTTTTTTTTTTTCTTTTTATCGAGCAACACAATGAGATATTTTGCAGTGATCCGTGGGCAGAGGTCCGCGACAATGCGCTGCCACGTGTTTGCCATGAGAGAAACAGCGCGATCAATAGAATGTCACTTATACGCGGAATGTTTTGCGTCACCGGATGGCAGACAGACTATTCCGCATGGTCTCCTGTTGGCCTTAATAGAAAATTTCCCCGTGTAATAGACGCAGACCAGATGCAGCTTTCTTCACGGATACCTTCCTAGATATTTAATTTCGTATTCAGAAACGTTGAAAATTCATGGACGAGGTAAATTAACTTTTCAGGACAATGAACGTGTATCCCGTCAAAATGATTTGAATAAAGGATGATGAGAATACAGTGAAATTACAAGATGGAATTTATGAACTTGATAAATGCGAAACAAAAAATTGAATAAGCAAATAAAAGAAAAATACATATAATACATGAAAAATTAAAAATAATATTGATTTGACATAGTTTAGTATGATAAAAATCAGAAAAACGAAAACTGCATTACGTGAAATCTTATATATTTCAATTCCACCATTTCATTTCTTGTACCTTTATTTCTCTGTCTTTATCTTTCTCTCTTCTCGTATAAATAATAAAATACGATAACAAAATTATCTAAATATTCGAGAATCACGCTTTAAAAGAATTCTATTCCCAGCGCTGGCCGACACGAACAAAGGACGACAGACGGGGAAGTGTTCGCGTCGCGCGGCTTTCCCCCATAGCTTTTCCCGGGAAATTAAATCGATAACTCCCTTTCTCGACCGTACGAAACATTCGCGACCGTAGGGGGACCGCAGGTCTGGCAGCCATTTCTATCGTTCTTTTCCCGAATTTTCTGCCCTTCCTACAATCCCCCATGGACTCCTCTTTCTCTCGAAGCGTCAAAGCTTCGTGTGTGCGTTACTTTCGAAAATTAAAAATTTACGTGCATCCACTTCGTGTGATGGAGACGCGAGAAAACACGAGACAAAGAACACCGAAAACCTAGTAAACATGTATCTTTACACGCTAGTAAATTACTGTAGAAGATTATACAGAAAAATTTGTTTCATTTTATGTAAAACCTATCTCCTCTCTCACTAAGAGATTATTGAGAATATTGCTGATATTAAATCTTTCATACATCGGGAGTAATATTTTCTTACATATTTTATATTAATTATATAGTAAATACGACAGTAAATAATGATAATTTAGGATAAGTTTGCACGAGGGAACCATTAGTGCTCCCATGCGTTCACGCACACACGTGGACAGAGTCACACGTGCGGAGCCAGCGTCAGACATCAATAATGGCCGGTGAAAGGAAGGGCTGCAACGAACGCTTCGAAAGGGTCGCGAAATGAAGACATAAACAATGACATCTGAAATCATAATGCCTCTTGGACCCTCGCGCACAGCTCTTTTATCTCTTTCACACATATGCTTTCCGATAAAAATTATTTTGAATTTTCACAAAAAGAGCATGTAACGATTTGAAAATTAAAAATTCGCGTTACATCAAGTCCATGAAATTAATTTACCTTGTAATAAATCGATAAAAATTGAGAATCTTATTAAAGTATGACAGCTATCGCTTTCAAATTTGATACTTCCTCGCGAATTTTTAGGAATTCGGACTCGAGGGAAAATACAACAAAATTCTCGCGATTGCGCAAATATCGTTGGTTATTTTCACCGCGCGGCAGTAGCGGACGCCGCACATTTTTCGCGCAACGGAAACGCCGCTTTATATGCACGATCATAAAATGTCAAAAGCGCCGGTGGGTCACAACCATACGTATACGTATATAGGCCGGCAGAATGACCGGGAGCTTTTTGCACGCGTAAAATGTAGTTAACAAACGGCGAAGGCGAGACGACAGGAAGCGCACCGATAACGTCACTCACATCGCAAGGTAGCCGATACTAATGTTAACGTTTACGTGCGGCTGAGTAAGTTCGAAAGTTGCACAGCGTATATCTTCGCGATAGACGTAAGATTCATAATATTTCAATAACTGAATATATATCGGGTATAAAAATTACATTTTTCATGAAATTCATTCGTCATGATCCTTTTTAACAATTTGTATATACTATTATACTTCTTCTACGAGACTTGTGTTCAATGCTACGATTGTAAATAAAATTCCTTACTTGCCTACAATAAATTTTACGATAAAAGCAAAAATAACTCTACACGAGACAATAGAAGCAAATAGATGACTATGATCGCGCTGTAAAATTTGAAGAAATAAAGAAGAGTTAGAAAGTAGAATTAGAAACCTTAAAAAAAAAGCACTATAATATTGTGGGATAGCGGAAATAGTATCGGCGGGTTATCGTAAAAAGAAAACGACCTGCTTTTTTCCGATATTTCCGAGTTAAAATGGATCTGCCTTTGGTGCTCGAGGTTTATGGCAGTCGAGAGTCTCGGTAATGAAATGGTAATGGTAGAAATAACGCATCTGCCACGAGAGTTGCCACGAGAGAGGATGAAAGAGAGAAAGAGAAGAGAGAGAGAGAGAGAGAGAGAGAGAGAGAGGAGGGAGGCGGACGTACG